TATGAATTACGTAAGCTCATAAATTCATAGATCACATTCTAATCTTGTAGTATTTATTTATAATTTTGAATTATAAATTACTTATAATTAGAAAATTATAGATTATTTTAAATGCTTATTATTAAACGGTGAAAATGTCTTTTGTCGTGTATATATGTAGAGCAAAGGCATTGGCGATGCTATTTATTCGAGCAATTGGACGATAGCCACAACGCGAGATCGCAAAAGTCTGTTGTTCGTAATGACCATTAGTCAAAAGGGATTAAAGCTGTCTTACTACGGAATTTTCAGTTTGGCTCTCGACACTTTCACTTGGGTAAATGGCGACGATGATTCACTTTATATGTTCTAATAGCAGTAACAAAATAATAGTCAACAATACTTACCTTTGCAGATTTTAAAAACGTCTTATTCTACTTTTAATGTCTTACAACAGACGTCGATGTGATTAGACTGAAATTATAAAAAGAATTACAGATTGTATAAAATTACGTATTTTCTTATAATCGTATATTTTAGATATGTATATATACATGAAAGCCCTTTAAAATAGAATCGTCTGTAAACTATTAATTATTTTTTAATGAACTATTTCATACAGAATAATATTCTGCTTGTTAAAATACGTAGTTAAAATACGTATGTGGTTTTTATTATCTTTTATATAACAGTAATACTAGAGCAATCAATTACTGCTCTTATAGTATATAAAAAAAAAAAGAAATCCGAGGATACGAATGACTTAAAGATGTATATTAAGAATTAATAGTGTTAAAATTTAATTTCATTTTTTAGATTTTTTTAGACTTAAAAAAAATTTTTTAATTCTTTTACAGTAAATGTCAAATTAATAGATACATCGTGTGTATTACAAAAAATTAAAATCTATGTAAAAGTAATTCTATATTTTATGGCATAAAAATATAATATCATATTATCTAAAAAATTTCAACTTTATGTTAAGTTTTAATAATTTTTTAATAATTTTTTAATTTTTTACTTATTTCACTGAAAAGAATAAGATGCACATGCACTACAATAATTAAATTCGTTAATCAATTTTAATCTATTTGCAGTTATATAATTGGGTAGTTTATGAAAAACTTTTTACTTTTTCACTTTCAGGCTGTACAGTTATCAGTTACGTAGCACTAGTCTATATCTTTCACCAGTTCATTGCTACTTTTTGTACCTATATTTTCCCGCAGATACTTAATATTGCACAACAGAAGAGTTGCTCAACAAATTCTTATTTTACGAGACACAAAGGTCTTACGTTAAAACATATTATTTAAAAATAGTTTCTTTTCTACGGTGAATAAAACATATGCAATGTTGGAAAAAGGCTCTGATAACAGACCAAGGCAATTCGATCGAATTAAAATTTAACGTGCGTTTGACAATATTGTACTGCATTACTAATGTAGCTCATATTGATGGAATGTTGTCGGAAATTTTATTACATGATATAGAGAGAAAAACGAACTCAATACAATATTAAAAAGACAAAGAAAATTTCACGACGACTGAAACGGGACAAGAATAAGATCGGCAATTACGTAAGAATAATACGTGACGATATGGACATTCTACCAGTAAACTTTAAGGCTTTGCGTTTTTGTGGCGCATAGAAAGAATGGGGAGACAATAATATGTGCGTTGGTTTTTTGCGCCTTTGTTACAGGTTTGTCATACACACAGTTGTACTAAAATATATAATAAAAATAATACGTGTGTATGTATAAAGCATTTCCTGTATCGATTTGAATTTTGTTATGCCAATAAGGCTTTTCTTCTCGTTAATTTATTCATTGATAATTTATTCATATTATTTAAAACGGTGGATATCTGTATAGGTATGCGATTTTTCTTTTGATATATGAATTTACGGTACTCGATGTGATAGAGGTAATTCGTACGCGCGATCACATTCAAGAATTGACCGAAGGACTCTTTATGGGATTAACTTTCTTAACACTGTGTGTTAAGTACGCGAATTTTTTGTTACGAGGGAACGAGCTGTCGGATTTATTGAATTGCCTACGCGTAAAAAGATGCCAGCCAAGAAATTCCATAGAAAAGCTAATAATAGAAGAGCACAGCCGCAGAGGTATTGGAATAATTATACATATGTATATAGATACATATATATGAATATTGCTTTATATAAACGTTACATATTATAAAATATAAATATATCAAAGATTATTAATAGTCAAGGCAATCAAGAATAAATAATCATCTATTTAAATGCATTATTTCTTGTTAACAGCATTGACCATTGAGTTTTTTTATACGATAAATACCTTTAAACTGATTAATTGCTTATAGTTAATGAATTAATTGCTAATAGTTAAATAATATAAATTAAATATTATAAATTAAATATAACTTTGACAACAGTAGTGAACGTAAAATTTTATTGTCAAATGTTTCTAACAGCTAAGTGGAGTACCATGTCGTTCTTGATGATATCGTACGTGACCGGGTTAGGCTTCATTATCACGCCAGCTTTAGGATTACTCAAGGGAGGCAAGCGCGTGTTACCTTTGAAGACATACATTCCATATTCCGTGTCAAATCTACTTCCATATTTAGTTACGTATCTGCAGCAATTTTTGGCGGTATTCTACGCAATAATGCTTAACGTTAATTTCGACTGTCTCGTTTATGGTTTTACAATTCAAGTCTGCGCACAAATCGATCTGATGTGCTCCCGCTTGACAGATAGTTTGAAGAATATTGGCGGTATTTCTTCCGGACGAAAGCCGGAAACAAACGCCTTGATCATGGAATGTGTCAAACATCACTTGCTTGTGAGCAATCTGGTAAAGAAAATACGAGAGTTATTCATATGGACAGTAATGATATTCTTCTTCTTCAGTCTGCTCATCGTATGTACCAGTATCTTCCTAATATCAAAGGTATCACCAAAGAGACATTTTATGTATCTTCAACGATACAACGTACATTTATTTCTTGCAGAAGAAACTACTCAGCTTTGAGTTTCTTTCAATGTTCCTATATCTGAGCGGTATACTGCTTCAACTGTTTTATTACTGTTGGTACGGAAACGAGCTTGAGTTGAAGGTAAATAAGCGTAACGTTGAAAATGATATGTGTAAAAGCCTAACATTTTTAAAGATAAAAAATAAAAAGTTTGAGAAGAGTATTATATATAGTTCAAAGAAACAGTTTGCGATATTGTTTATCCGGCTGTAGAAATAATTAATATCTCCGTAATAATTAATATCTCCGTACGAAAAAATATTATATGATTATATGATCAATTAATTGCACTTTTTTTTTTCGTAGAGTAAAAGCATTGCGACTACTGTTTATTCCTGCAACTGGACTATGGCGACACCGCAAGAACGCAGATCACTGATGCTAATTATGATAAGCAGTCAAAAAGGAATAATGTTTTCCTATCACGGAGTATTTACATTATCTCTTAATACTTTTGCTTGGGTAAGTAAAGTATGTAAGTATATTATGTGTACTGTGAGATTTGTACAATATAATAATTATTGCAAATATTACAGTATAACAATTATCTGCGCAATTATCAGATAAGACATAATTGCGCAGATTGACATGAATATAACATGAATATAAATGTCTCTTAGACATTTCGCAATGATGTAATATCTTATTTTTGTAGATTTGTAGAACTTCTTACTCAGCATACAATCTCTTGCAAGGAGCATCAAATTAATCAACTGTTGGATTATGTAGAAGTAAAAAAATATTTATTTTGTTGTGCAGTTCTTATTGTTCAAAACATAACATATGGCGTAATATTTTTTTAAAGAATTTAAGATTTCAAAGAATATATTACAATAACAAGATTTTCACGGATTTTTTATGCGATCATTGCATAAAAAAATGATGAAATAGTATAATGAAGCATGTATATATAATTTTAATAAAAATGTTATTTGGTTAAATGTAATTCCTTAAAATTGACATACATTTTTTATGTATTTTCACTAAAAATATAAAAGAATACAAGAATGTTCTAAATTAGATTTAAAAGAACGTGATTTATTATTATTATTATTATTATTATTATTATTATTATTATTATTATTATTATTATTATTATTATTATTATTATTATTATATTTTCGGATAATATGGTACCATTCTGTTATTCTTTTAAAAATATAATTTTATTTTTATTAATAACGAGAAGAGATTTTTATTTATATTAATAACGTGAGAAAGCACTTTGCTCGTCTTCTATGATTGTATTTCCGATCCGTCATCATTTAACTAAATAGTTGGACTACTTTGGTACGAAGACGTCTATTTGATTTGCCATTTGAACAGTGCTTTCCTCTTTTCTGTTGCTAGGCCAGCAAATTCATCGCCAGTTGCTTGAGACATCTGACAATCTGAATTGATCATTTCCATAAAAGCCTCGTAAAGGCCTCGTAAAAGTAGATTAATTTCTTAAGTCTCAGAGTCTAGGTTAATCATAGGAGATTACCAGTCATTACTATTAGTCATTCTAATTCGAATAAATTGGCCGCAAGATGAATCTGCATATCCTTTTGAGAATATTAAGAATCTTTATTTTAGATCGTATATGTGAGAACACAATCAATACCAGAAATTTTAAATGCTTTTTACAGTCGAAGCTGGATCTTCATTGCTTTAAATAATTCAATCTTGAATTATTAATATATATACTATATATGTACTTGCATATATACTATATTGTAATCTTTTCAAAGCGCGCCGAATGTTTTTCCGGACTATAAACGCAATTAAAATTACTCTAGTAATCACGAATTAAATTGAATCATTATCGAGAATTTAATTTGAGACAGGAGACACATATTTATCATGATATTTAAATGTGCGAACTTTCATAGAAGTGGATATTTCATTATCACGATTATTGTTTGAAATTAATTTGCTATATTAATTGGAATATTCTAAATAAATGTTTTATTTTATAGTGCTACAATTTTACAAAACTTTGTAATAAAAATTTAATTAAGGCGTTTTACATAATTTTGGATAAATAAATTGTTTTATGAATCTCTTAATTATTTTTTATTAATATATTCTAATCCAGATCTCTTAATTTTCTTTTTTCAGAGTATGCTTTATTTACGTCAGATGCATTTGATATTAAATAAGTTTTTAGATGTATTGAGTTGTCAGATGTATTTAGATTGATTTTAAATTGCCGTTGTTAGAATTATGTAAATGAAAATAGAATTTACCCACGAAATCATACATTCTCTGTTTCATCCTGAAAACATTTCCATATAATATGTAATGATATACTTGCAACAAATTGCAGCTGTTTTATACAATAACGTTTAACATTTCCTTTGACGAATTCTGTTTCGCGAATCAAGTTGTTCTAGCTGTTGCTGATTAAAAAATATTAAGTCAAAGTATATAAATGCGATTCACTTTGGACAAGTACACAAGGATATTGCAAATAATATTTATTTTAATGATTAAACATTGTAAAAGAGCAAGTTTTTGAAGTTCGTTATGACAGCTAAAAAGGAATTACTTTTATTATTGTGGAAGATTTGCGTTATCTATGAATATATGGGTGTAAAATTGATAAACAAATATATTCACACGGTTGTAAAGTTAGCTTATAAAACTGATGTCAATATTACAAAATATATCGAATTTATTGTCGTTGCAGCAATCTAAATATACATATTGATAAAAATTAAATTGAAATTCAAACTAATTAATTAAGTGATATAAAAAAAAATTATGTAAAATATTTAATATTATAATAATGTAAATATACTTTTGTTTTCTCCAAAATTTTTAAATTTTAATCAGTTTTTAAGTTCTTCTACAGCAAACTTTGATTAAAATACATCACGTATATTGTAAAAAATTAAAATGTATGTATATTTTGTATGTATATTCTATATTTTATATAAGATATAAGAGATGCAAGTAATATAACATGTAATATAGTACTTTTTGAAAAAATCCTGAAAAACTTTATATCACATTTTTATATAATTATTTTTTATGCTAAAAAAAATAAGATGCAGAGTCCTAACAGTTAAACTGGATTTTTGGTGCTTAAATTATTTTGTGATGTGTTTATATTTTCAATTCTGCAAACTGCGCGTCAAAATTAAATTTCAGTTTTCAAACTCAATCCTAATAGATGTTTTAATCAATGAGAACAGTTTGTAAAAACTTCTTACCTTCTCTACTTTCAGACTATGCAGTATGTCATTTATGTAGCGCTAGTCTATATCTCTTTCCGGTTTATTATTTTCTTTGCCTCTGTTTGCCTATAGATATTTAATATTGCATAGCAGAAGAGTTATTTAACAAATTCTTATTTTGCAAGACATGCAATAATCTTATATTAAAAGCATACTATATAAAAACGATTTATATTCTTCAATGAACGAAACATATGCGATATTGAAGAAAGGCTCCGATGAGAGAAATGACTCGATCATATTAAAATTTAACGTGCGGTTAACAACATATAACATTACTAATGTAGTTCGTAATGATGGAACGTCATCGGAAATTTTACCCGATAAAAGAAGAGAATCAAATTTATACAATATTAAAAAACGAAGAAATTTTGCGATTGAAACGGGACAAGAATAAGGTCTCGACAATTATGCGAAAATAATATGATGATATGGACATTCTACCAATAAACTTTAAAGCTCTGCGTTTTTGCGGCGTATGGAAAGAGCGCAAAGACGACAATATATGCGTCAGGTTTTTGCGCTTTTGTTACAGGTATGTCATATGAAGCATTATATTAAAATTAATATATTATATAGTGTGATATATTAATATAATTAATATATCATACAAAAATTATGTGATATACAAAACGTTTCTTGTTGGTTTATAAATTTTGCTTTTGAACTTTTCTCTTCCTTGTCAGTTCATTCATCAATTATTTAAAATTATGGATGCAGGTACGCAATTTTTCTCTTGATATATGAGTTTACGATATTCGATGTGATAGAAGTGATTCGCACGCGCGACCACGTTCAAGAGTTGACCGAAGGGCTTTTCCTGGGACTGACTTTCTTAACACTTTGCGTGAAGTACGCGAATTTTTTGCTGCGAGAGAGCGAACTATCGGATTTGTTGGATTCCCTACGTGTAAAAATGTGCCAGCCTAGGAATTCCACGGAAAAGCTGATAATAGAACAGCACAGTCGTAGAGGTATTCGAGTAATTCGTAGATACATATGTTGTATGCATATTGCTTTACGTAATTATTTTGTATCATAAAATACATATATCAAATATCATTAATGACAATTAAAAGTGATAGTAAATAATCACCTATTTAAATATTCAGTTAATTAAATGTTATGTAATTTTAACAAATATGTAAAAATGGTAAATGTGAAAAAACGTAGTAAATGTAAAATTCTGTTAAAACATTGTGTTTTAGCATTTTTACTTCTTTTTCATTTAATGTGAAATTATTAAATGTATTGGATTGTAAAAATATGCAAATAGAATTTAAATTAAAAAAAATTAAACAATTAAAATTAATTGTGAGTCAATAATGTACACGCATTCTTAATTTCTTCCTAATCGTCAGAAACAAAAGATAGAAGATTAATTGAATATTATCTTCAACTGATGTTTACTGGAAATCAAAATATTTAACAGCTAAATGGAGCAGCATACTGTTCATGATGATATCGTATATGACTGGATTTGGTTTCATGGTTACACCAGCTCTAGGATTACTCAAGGGAGGCGAGCGCGTCTTGCCGTTGAAGACATACATCCCATATTCCGTGTCAAGTCCTCTTCTATATCTAGCTACGTATTTGCAGCAATTTTTGACCCTATTCTACGGAATAATGCTTAATGTTACCTTTGACTGTCTCGTTTACGGCTTCACAATTCAAGTTTGTGCGCAGATCGAGCTGATGTGCTGCCGATTGACAGACAGTTTCAAGAACCCCAGTCGTATTTCTTCCGGACAAAATCGAGAAACAAGCGCATCGATTGTGGAATGTGTCAAACATCATTTGCTCGTGAGCAATCTCGTAAAGAAAATACGAGAATTATTCATATGGACAATAATGATATTCTTCTTCTTTAGTCTGCTCATTGTGTGTACTAGTATCTTCTTAATATCAAAGGTATTGCAAAAATCACATTTTACGTATTTTCGACAATGTAACGTACATTTACATTTTAATTCTTGCAGAAGAAATTACTCAGCTTTGAATTTTTTTCAATGTTCCTATATCTGAGCGGCATGTTGCTTCAATTATTTTATTATTGCTGGTACGGAAACGAGCTTGAATTAAAGGTATATAAGCGCGAGTATCGTTGTAAATGATATATGAAAATTTAGCCTTTTTAAAGATGCATTCACATGGACAATAGAAAGTTTGGAAAGTTTTAAATCTAATCTACAATATGCTCACCTATTACTAACTTTTTATCACTTGTTATTTATTGCCTTTTTGCTTGTTATCCTATTTTTTCTTTCACTTTCTGAAGATAAAAGTTGACCAGCTTCGAAAGAGACAAGAAATATGTAACAAGAAGTACGATTATTGATAAAATAGTTGTAAAGAAGGATAAAGTTAAAAGGTAAAAAGCAAGAAATAAAAAATAAAGAATCAGAAACGTGCAAAAAGAGTTGGATGTTCGCGTGCAAAAACAATTTTGCCACTTCAGAAGTAGGAGAAGCTCGGGCAAAATGAACGCCTTGGTTAAAGCAAATACTTTTTATTCTCGCTTATCTATCTGAGATTGTTAGCAATTGAAGGAATGATCGACCAGCGACGCCATGAAAATAACGAAACGATATATGATTGCGTTCGTTTGTATTTAATGGACATATAGAAAATTGAGTGTTTTCTTGCGATTTTTCCTTAGCTTAATTATTATCTATAATTGTTCCCTAATCAGTGTGAACGATTTTTTATTTTTTAGAATTCTGTGTCTTTAAACGTGTATTCGAGGTTAAAATTTTTTACTTGGTGTTTCAACTTATTCTAATCTTTCCAAATTCAGGTAGGTCCTCCCTTGAGCAAAATAGGTGGGGGGCAAAGCGGATGATCTATCTTCTTTTCTCGATATATAATTACAATGAAAATACTGGGAATACGGAGGGACAAACAATCTTTCGAGTGTACGAGTGCACGTGTTTGTTTACATTTCATTTTTGTTTATTTTTTGTGACAATGTAGTATAATGATTTGTTTATAATTGATTCAGTGCAGTCATTGCATCAAATGGATTCATGAAGGCACTACATATAGAGAATTTGGTAGCTACTTTTATAACGATTGCCAAGACTGATCCTAATTTTTTAAATTCCTAATCCTAATCCTAATTTTTTGCATTTGTATTGCTCGAATGATCCATTCGCTTTGCCCAGGGAGGTCGGGTAAAGTGGATGATTTCTCTTTCTTTATATTTTAACTACATATTTTAACGACATATTAATGTTCAAGAATTTTAATTTTTTTTTAATTTTATTTCAAAGTTAAGTCCTTTAAGAGATTTATGAGAATAAAAATGGTTTCTGATCTCAATTTTAATATATCATTTTTTTTCTTAACCTTAAGTTAACCCAGTGTCCGCGCTTCCCGGGCTTCCCTATACATATTTGTATCTATAGATCAACTGAAACAAGAACGAAGACAATAAAAAATTGTAGATATGTGTCAATAGAAGTACAGGAAGATAATTTTTATAAAGACGCATCCAAGCAGAACAGTAAATCACGATAATGTCAAAATGACATTTCGAAAATGATTCGAAAATGATTGAAAAACTTTTAATGATCATTTTGGAATCATTTTGACATCATTTTGATATCATAATGACTTATTATTCTGCTTGGGCAGCTAATATTCAGGAAGCAATTTCACATTTGTACTATATTCAAATATAATTCATTAAATCTTAAAGCTTCAGCTATCTCTACGGATTTGCTCAATGTGTTATGCACGTGTTAATGTTCGCTAAACATGCCTCTGCGAAAAGTATATTATAAATAAAATTATGATTCAATTTCTTGGTGAAAATTTTTCTCATAATTTTTATATGAATTGGAACATTTTTCAGAAATACTCAGAAATGTTCAGAAAGTTTATATCTCTTCTCTCAGAATTTTTCATTCTCTCAGAACAAGTGAATTCTGAAATATTCTGAAATTTCTCATCCCATAATTTTTAAAAAGTATTTTAAATATTTTACATTTTTTAGATTTTGTAACATTTCATCAGAAATTATACTTATAAAAAAAATCTTAAAAATCTTACGATATTTCATAATTAACATACATGAAAATTCTGAGAAAAGATGTAGATTTTCTAAGAAATGTTCCAATTTGTATAAAAAATGTGAGAAAGTTATAAAATTATAGAGAAATTCTGAAAAATTATATAGAAATTCTAAAAAATTATATGAAAAATTCTAAGAAAAATTTTCACCAGAATAAAGAAACAGTTTACGATTTTTCGAACATTATCTCATAAAGAATAGAGTTAATATCTCCACATGAACAAATATAAGATCAATTGGCTAATGCTTTGAGAATTTGCTTTGCAGAGTAAAGACATTGCGACAGCTGTTTATTCCTGCGACTGGACAATTGTAACACCGCGAGAACGCAGATCGCTGATGCTGATTATAATAAGCAGTCAAAAAGGAATAATGTTCTCTTATCATGGGATATTTGCGTTATCTCTTAATACTTTTACTTGGGTAAGTAAATGAAACATATATTTTATGTATATTATGGATGTATATTATGTGTTCTACTTGATGCTCGCAACGCTGGAATTACTTCATTCATGTTGTTTATCAAATAAGAAAATAATTCTCGCGCCAAGTTGTGAACGCCAAGTATTATACACTAAGTGTATTGAGATTTATGAGATACAAAAATGATTGCGACAATTATTTTTGTTTTCAATTAAGATAGAAGCCAATTCCATAAATTACATAAATATAAACATAAATATAAATAAATATCTTTTAAATGTTTCACAGTGATGCAATATCTTATTTCCGTAGATTTGCAGGACTTCTTACTCGGCTTACAATCTCCTACAGCAAGGATCAAACTGATCAATTATCTCGTTAAATATGTAATGAAAAAATAATATTTATTTTGCTCTGCATTTTTTATATTTTCTTATACAAAACATAACGGTGCGATATTTTTTCCATTTACTATTATCTAATAATAATACTTTTTTCACAATAAATATAATCTATTTAAGCACATTATAAACATTTCCATGCAATGCATCGTTAAGATACATTGTTAAAAAATATGATAAGGTATATAATAATTCATACATAAATTTCATATATAAAATTCTTAGATGATAATTCTAGATAACAATTCCATAATGTTAATACACAATTTTAGTATTCCATTTAAAATATTGTTTCTAAATATTCTGATATATTGCACCTGTTGTTTTGTTAAAAATGTTCTTTTATTTTTGTTTATACATCAACATAAAAAAAAAGTTTTCGTATCTGTTGCTTTGATTCGTCGTCATCAGGCTGATTTTGCTAATTCAAATATGTAGGCGTCCCACTTCACTTGCCATTGGCTCAACGCTTCCTTTTTCTCTTCATTGTTCATGCTGCTATAGATCAACGAATTCATTGCCAATTGCTTGAGACTTCTGAGATCTGAATTAGCACTCATAATACCCATAAAGGCTTCGTAAAAATCGTAGGTCAATCCCTTGGCACCCCAGAAGCCGGGATCATCGTTGGAGACTACCACTGGCGATCCTTTTGCGAACAAACTAGCCGCAGGGTGATTCCGCATGTCCTCAACAAGACCAAGAACCTGGTTTGAGATAGGACAGACTTCTACCGCTATATTTGATTGCTGCGCGAACTTCCATAGGAGCGGGTGCTTTGTTAATGCGTATCTACATAGAGAAATATTGTCGATGTTTAAAACCAATTTGCTATATTAATTAGGCTGGAATATTTTAAATAAATGTTTGATATATCATAATTCATTTTACATTTTATTACAATTATGTATATAAAAATTTATATATATATATAGGGTATTTCAGAAATAATTGGTCAAACTTTAAGAGTATATTCCACTCATTTTTCACTCATAAGAGTGAAAAAAAGTCATATAAACATGAGTTCGGAAAGGCTTCCTTTCCAAGTTATTTTTTTATCTTATACTTATATTTTATTTTATACTTATATCTAT